TGGATGGCTACAATTGAGATTGGTATGCATCTTAATTACAACTATCATTCCAGTGTGAATTAAGAGAGTCCGGAATGTTGTCCAAAATTGCAGTTTGGACCGTTCAGATTCCGACCACTAATGTAGACATTACTCGTTCATTTTCGGCGATTGGTTCGCCAAATTTTGAAGAAATACTCCGTCCATTGTTGCCATTCAAACATATTGATAATATCCTGAGGAGGCATTCCCTTAATGATATACGCTCCATTATGTGTGTTTTTCGAAAAGGTTGTCCATAAATTTTCACCTAGTGTAGCTATTAAGAAGCTTCAATTGGGGAAGGTTACGGGGAACAACGAGGCTTCGGTTTAAAACCTGGGCCTTAGCTCTCTCTTCCTCAGCCCTGCGGCGTTCGAACGAAAAGAACTTTGGGTTATGAGGGAACTTGCGTTCGTACATAGCCCGGCCGTCATCGACGGCTTGCTGATCCCTTTGAGCTTTAATGAAAAGCCCATTCACGTGCTCTAAAGCCTCCACCGAATCATCAGTAGCTGCAAGAGCTTGAGCGTAGAGTCTGTCAGACTCATCTGCCTTTTGCATAAGCAAAGAGACAGCCCACTCGGCCCTAGCCTCAGGAGAAGCATGGGTTGATGCCCCAGCACCAGGGACAAAGACAGAACTGGTCTGTTGGTACTGTTCAGTCATCTCAACATCACATTCCATGTTGATGTTGGCGTTGATGGTTTGGTTGTTGTTGGTAGTATTCATCGTAAAAAATGTTGTATTTGGATTTGGATAGGTTTAAACAAAGTAGAAAATACGATGAGACTGTGTTGTATCTTTATTCAGAATAAAGTTAAAAAGAAAAAGAGATGATAGCACAATCTATAATTATATATTAAGAAGCTGAGGTATTTAAACTGAGTTGGCTATATTTGATTAAGGTGTAACAGGTCTTATAGCAGCATTAGGTTCAACTCTAGATATTGTATTTAAGCACTGAATAGTAGCGTGGATACTACACAGTCTATAAAAAAATCAAATAGTGACAAACTGTCAACTAATTGCACATCCTTCTTCATAATTGCACTCTTTTAGGCATCACCATTTTCATAAGGGCACTGTTGCTCAAAAAACGGATAATTCTGATTGGCCCGTTTGACCACCTCCCGCTCAACCGTGAATTATTCACGGTTATTTTAAAAAATTCACGGTTCTTCTCGCCATAGTGATAAAACTTGTTGGCGTAGCGACCCAGAGTGGATTTTTTTAATCCAGGAATGCGTTCCATAATTTCTGCATGCGTCTTGTTCTGTGACAAAAGCGATTTTATTTCGTTTTGCTGGGATTTGCTGATGGCGTTGGTCATATCGATGTTGATGTAGGTAGAAGGAAGAAATGCTAAAGAAAAGGCAAGCAGACGTGGAAAAAAATATCACTACGCATCGATTTTAAATGTCCGAGTATGTCATAATGAGTCATATATTAATAATCAAAAAATTGACAGTCACTACTGATGGCAAAAATGGTGCAATGTAAGTAAAGCTTACTATGGCCGGTAAGCGGATTAATTGTCCCAGTGTAGCTTTTGTTTTTGTACTCTAGCCATTTCTGTCTGAGATAAGCCACAAACCCAAAAATTTTCTATCTTATATTATTTTTTTCAGGCTACAAAATAAGCCTATATACATCCCATTACGTCCCATACTGACGTCATTAAAGGCATCGGAAACCAAAATAATGAAATACTGGGACGATTAATCCACCCACAGTAGGCGAGGCAGGTGAAGTAATCAACGTGATCAGTTATTAAAGCATGACCACCATTTAACGTTGGTATCATGACCGAGTGGTCCAAGGTGTTAGACTTAAGATCTAATCCGCGTAAGCGGGCGTGGGTTCGAACCCCACTGATATCAAGAGGTTACATAGCATATCTTTATCGTGTTTTTATCGATATTGTGTCATATCTTTTGATTTGTCGTGTTCTTTCACGGAGATTCTTTTTATGAAAATCAATAAGTATTGTGACGATAACGACGATGAAATTGCGGTGTCACCCACCCACTTCTAAAGTCAGTCACTAGTGACACTGTTGTAGTGTAACAATAGCGGAGTTGAAACGGATGAACTTCGTGACCCTCACGAACTTCATGAGGCAGACGAACTTCACGACTTGTATGAAGTTCATGTTCCTCATGAAGTTCAAGCAAATGAATTATAAATTATTTTAGTATAAATACATTCAATATTTTTAAATAAAAAAAGTTAGTTATCTGTTAGTTAACTGTTAGTTATCAACTTTTTACTTTCTAATACATTTTGTATTTTAGAGTATCTTTTTATTACTCTTCTATACTTTTACTTTTCTTTTAACACTCTTAACTACCGATACGCTTATCCTGAAGCCTCGTATCAGTAGAATTCACTTTTATCTTTACTTTTATTTTTATATAACTCAAGTTATCTCTTTTGATCTATTAAGATCTGGTGGTCACGCGACAAAAACTCTTATATAACTCAAATTACATTCAAGCCTTTACCCAAATCTAGCCTTTTTACATTTGGTGGTCACTACGAGGGCTCAATTAATCCAAACTACGAAGCTTAACAAGCCTATTTACAAGAAATCAAATCATAATAACCTATCTCGATACTTTAAAATCAAGAAACTTTATTAAAAACAACTCAAACAAGAAAACAAAATGACATCAATTAACAGTTCAGAACACATCGCGTTGGCAAATAGCAATGTCAGCACTAACTATCGCCAAGTTATCAATTTCCATGGATACGAAGGCGAAGACTTTCGTTATTTCTTGGATCTTTTGGAATCATACTTTGCCTTTAACAATATTCCTCACGAAGTACGCAAGCTTACCATACTGAAAACACAATTGAAAGGCCCCGCCAAAACATTCTTCGAGAAGGAAATACTTCAGAAATTTACTGATATCAAGTACGATCAAGTTATTGAAGAATTAAAGAACCATTACATCACACCAGAATTAATTCAAAAATATGAAATGGAATTCAATGACATGTACCAAGGAAACCAAGAGCATCCTCAAGTCTTTCTGTCAAGACTATATCAAGCAGCAGATCTGGCTAATATCAAAGACGAAGGTGTTATCGAAAGCCGATTCAGAGCTGGATTACTCAAGGACATTAAGTTGTTCTGTATCCAAAGTAGCTCCAGGACTATGAAAGATTGGATTACTCATGCCGAAGGATGGTGAAATGCAAACAGACCACGCAAAATACCCATGGTAGATAACCCATTCATTCCAAGAAATGTAGATCAAGCTTTGACTTACAACAATGAAACTCCACATCAAACACGTTATGGTCATAACAATCACCATATCGAATTAGGGGATTCAAACGAATGTGCTATGCCAGCTTTATTAATAAATAATCCTCAGCAATTTAATACACCTAATGCGAATAGTCAATTCTCAAACATGAGGAATACAAATCAATTAGCCACATTGGATATAGGAAGTCTCAGTAGACCTCAAGGATCAACTAAAGGGCAATTGGTAAACACAAATCAACAGCAAGATTTAATTCAATTAATACAACAAACAATTCGAAATGAATTAAATAATCAACAAAATAGCCAATTTCCACGCAACTACAACCGCTACAACAGAAACAATTACAATGATGGAAATAATCGTTACAATCGAAATAGTGGCAATAACTTTAGGACATATAACAACGATACACAGAATCAATCTAAAGATAATGATCAACAACCAGTACAACAACAAAAGCAGTCAAAAAACTGAATGGGTCGGTTGTTTGGAATAACCAAAGATATGGTCAATCGAACACCCAAGAAAACTTAAAATCCATAAACCAACATAATCAACAATACCAACTGAATGCAATATTAACTGACAAGGAACATAAACGACTGCACCAACAACATGATGAACTATATGCTTCTGTTAGACTTGAAAGACCTCCTGATATAATCCCAGCCCCATATTCTAAAAAGAGGATGACGACAATAGGCAAACAAGCTACGGAATCATCAACAGCACGACGATCAAATAATAGGAGCAATCCAGAACCGTCTAACCTTAACATAGGACAACCGCAGAATTATGAACAACAGCCGCCACCCATGATGCAGCCTACTCAACAACAGCCTCTACGACCTGAACAGCATATGAGTCAACAAAATGAGCCTCAAATGCTACAACCAGATATAATGATGGACACTGACTTACCTATTGAAAAGAGAAAACCATCTCAGCCCAAAAACCCAAGAACTAGGAAACCAACTCCTAATATAAAATACGATATCGTCAGTGATGTATTAAAGCATAAAGCCGACATTGAAATAGGAGACTTGATAACTGTAGCTCCATCATTAAGAAAGAAATTGGCTGACAGGTGTAAGCTTAAGAGGAAACCAGCTAAACAACAAAAACAGCCGGAAGAGACCATAGCATTTATTGAAGATGACGAAATCAGTACTACAGCAGCATATACTACTGTCGCAATAAGAGATATGAATGTCAAAACATTGGTAGACTGTGGAGCAGCGAAAACTTGCATGTCAAAAGCATTAGCAGATGCTCTTAGATTAGAAATCGATGCTTCATCTGAAAGCGTTTTTACTTTAGGAAATGGTTCTAAACAACCCGCACTTGGGATGATCTATGATGTTCCTATCGAAGTAAAAGAAAACATGACTATACCGTGTACTATCGAAGTTCTGCCCTCCTGTCCTGCACACTTAATATTGGGAAATAACTGGTTAAACCGTGCTAAAGCTAAAATCGACTTTCAATCTGCCACACTCAAGGTTGCTTACAAGAACAAGAAAGCCAATCTAAGCATACACTTTATACGAAGAAGCAAAGAATTGCCAAAAATGACAACCTTTCACCAAAGCTATAAAGAACCAATAAGCTTGACAAACTCATACCCAAGCAAGAAAGTACCTTTTGAAGATGAATCAGATTCCCAATCAGACACTGAGGAAGAGGAAGAAGAATCTGAATCAGAAGAGACATTAGAAGAAGAAGCCTTGGAAGAAGAATATGAGGAAGAAGAAGAAGAACATCCCTTGTTAGTCTTGGAAGATGATACAAAAGAAGAAGTCATTATCACCAATACAAAAGAAACATACGCTATTCAAGCTGCAAAAACAGGAGTTGTGATTCAAGCCAAATCATCAAAAATGATAAGCTTCAACAAGCCAGAAAAAGAATCAGCCGACTGGATATATTACTTTGACATTACAAATCCAAAACTCAATTACGCACTTGGATATTTTGATCCATGCTCTTCATTAATTATCAACAAAAAGACGATTGAGATACGATTATACAACCGGACAAACAAAGATATATACATTAGTCCAGGAGAAGAACTGGGTATACTAGAAAAATTCAACCTGTGCAAAGATACAATAATATCAGCATATAAATTGAAACAAAGCCCAGAAATGTGTACGATGGAATATAATGAAGTCCAAACTATTAAAACAAAAGAACATGAACAGATTATGCTGGAAGCAGAACTATACAACAAGCTAGAAGTAACTGATTTACCTAGCGAGATACAATCAAGATTCAGAGAATTACTGAACAAATACAAACACATCTTCGATTGGGGTAACAACACAATGGGACATACCACTCTTATACAGCATAGAATCGTCATTGATAAAGACACTTTGCCAATAAGCCATAGACCTTACAGAATGAGCCCTATGGAAGCCGAATACTTACAGAAAGAATTAGACAAGTATTGTAGACTAGGAATTATCACGCCTTCAAATAGCCCGTGGGCAGCACCTGTTATTTTAGTAAAAAAGAAGAACGGTGAATACCGCATGGTTATTGACTACAGAAAGCTCAATGCCGTCACAAAAAAAGACTCTTACCCATTGCCACGTATCGACGACTTACTTGACACGCTTGGAAAGGCAAAAGTATTTACCGCTCTGGATATGCGTTCTGGGTTCCATCAAGTACCATTAGCAGAAAATAGTAAAGAACTCACAGCCTTTACGACAAAATACGGCATATATCATTACAACATGTTACCAATGGGATTAGTAAATTCACCTGCTACTTTTCAACGCCTAATCGATCTATGTTTCCGTCCCCTAATCAACAGATGCTTAGTAGCATATATAGATGATCTCAACGTGTATTCCAACAATTACAATGAACATCTACAGCATCTTAAACAAGTATTTGATTGTATTGATACTGCAAACCTCAAGCTCAACCCTGAAAAGTGTTTCTTTTTCAAGGACCATCTTAAATTTCTCGGCTATATTGTAACAAAACAAGGAATTCAAACGGATCCAGCCAAAATACAGAAAATCATCGACTATCCAATACCAAAGACAGTTACTCAAGTACGATCCTTTCTGGGAATAGCTTCATACTACCGAAGGTTCATCAAAGACTTTGCGGCAATCGCAAGGCCCTTACATGAGCAAACAAAGACAAAGAAGAAAGTACCTTGGACAACGAAAACAACCGAATCCTTCAATCAGCTGAAGAAATTATTAACAACAGCACCCGTACTGGCTAGACCAGATTTCACTAGAGAATTCATATTGGTAACTGATGCTTCCAAACTTGGGCTTGGATGTGTGCTTACGCAGCTGGATGACGATGGAAGAGAACACCCTATCATATTCGCAAGCCGTGGATTAAGGTCTGGAGAACCAAATTATGCACCAACAAAGTTAGAGTGTCTAGCGGTTGTATGGGCAGTAAAGATGTTTAGACCTTATCTGCTTGGAAAGAAATTTACTATTATCACAGATCACTCAGCATTAACAGGTTTACTGAAAACCAGTAATCCAACCGGAATCATTGCCAGATGGATTATCATACTCACAGAATACGAATTCGAGATAAAATACCGACCTGGAAGAATTAATGAAAGTGCCGACTTCCTATCAAGGCTCGGTTACTAAATGAACAACATTAGCAATTCACATCATAATATCAAAATATCAAAAAAAAAAAAAAAAACACATGGAGGTTGGGAGGGTAGTTGATCAAAATCGACAAAATGAAAAAAAAAACAGCATAAAATGAAACAAAATGATCAAAAACACATGGAAAATGTCACAAAAATACTCAGAGTAGGCGGTCGAACCAAGCAACAAAAAAAAAAAATTTCACATTATTACAAAAACGGAAACCGTACAATTCAGAAAAGTTACACCAAAACACATTAGCACACGAAAAACATGGAACAAAGCAAATTACAACAGATAAAACAATACTTACAAACACTGGAGTTACCCGAAGCTCTATCAGCAAAAGAAAAGAAGTACTTACAACGAGAAGCCTCGAAATTTACCATCTACAAAGATACGCTCTATAGATACAATACTGAAAACGGCATAATACGAAAAGTACTCAATCAGAAAGCAGTAGAGATCATGTACGCCTACCATCAACACCCATTAGGAGGACATATGGCCTACAATAATACCTTACACAAGATAGCCGCAAGATACTATTGGGATGGAATGGCACAAGAAATTCTAGAATACGTAAAAAAGTGTCATCAGTGTCAATTACACGGAAGAAAAACCTTAAACGAAGAGCTTTACCCAGTACCCGTATCAGTCAAGCCTTTCGATAGGATAGCACTGGATGTAAAGCATGTAAATTCATCACGATCGGGATTTCGCTACATCATCGCAGGAATTGATTATCTGACGAAGTATGTTGAAGCAAGACCAATACGTTTTCAAACAGCAGCAGAAATTGCATTATTCTTATACGAAGATATTATATGTCGCCATGGTTGCCCTACAATTATAGTAACAGACAATGGAAAACCCTTTGTTAGCGATCTGATAAGACAGGTTTGTAAAAATTACAACATCATTCACAAGACAACCACGCCATACAATCCTCAGAGCAACGGTCTCATTGAACGGTTTAATCGCACTTTAACACAAATTTTACAAAAACGATCAGCCGAAGAAAAAGAAGACTGGGATGTCTATTTGCCAGCTACATTATTTGCATACAGGTCCATTAAACAAGCTACGACTCAACAGTCACCATTCTTTATGCTCTATGGATATGAACCTAAAACACCATTTGATCTAGACCATCACATATATGAACGAAATTCTCCCAAGTACGAAGCTATACTAAAACACCGAACAGCGCATCAAATACACAATCTCAACACGATAAGGATGCAAGCTATCAAATCAATTAATCAAGTACAGGCAGCTCAAAAGAAGTCTATTGAAAAGAAATTATTAGATGAGCAACGATCCTGGAAGCCACCATTCAAATTAGGAGACATCGTATTACTTTATAAAGATTTTCTAACAACTTCATGGTCAGCAAAACTGCAAGATAAATGGGACGGTCCATACGTAATCCATCATGTGCTAGGGAAAGGAACTTATCATATCAAAAGTATGGATGTCAATGATACAAGACTCCGAAGAGTACACGGCAATCGACTCAAACCTTACCTGTTACCCAAAGTTCATTGGTGCGCAGAATCCCAACGCATAATAACTACGCGATTAGACACCGAGATTGATACACTCTTGGAATGATGGCAAAACACATTACCACTCAAATCTAACTACTAACAACCAGAAAATAATGCAACCAAGAACATATATAAACGACAAAAAAAAAAAATTATTATACTTATCAATATTAAATACTCAAATGCCTGCTCAAGTTGTACCGATCACTCCTGAAGCTATCCCTACTGACTTATTTTTAAGAAGAACCTATGAAGAAGAAGGTCTTGAAGCTGCTCTCTTGCTCTTAAACAAGCATCTTGACATGTGTGAAGCTTCTGGCGCTGGTCGTATAGAGTACATGCTCTTTAATGAACAAGTCTCTCGCGAAGAATTCGTAGAATCCATGATACAAGACCTTCAAGACACTCCTGCTGATGGCCATATCACTATCACGCCATTTGATTTGAATACTGGTGAAGAATACAGCCACACGAGGCCCATCATGGATGCTCTGGAGAACACCGATGACCTCTTTGCCTTGTTATTTGAATCTATCACATATGGTAATGATCAAGATCCCCATCCTAATGTTCACAGGGAATTTATGATCCAAGTATACGAACAATATTGTGACGTAGTCAAGCAAATTATCGACCTGAAAACTTTGAAAGAACAAATTACCACGCGCTGAAGAATTGGTTGAATAGTTGATTTGAAATGGAC